CCAGACAGTGCTCATCTCGGCAGGTTTACAGCTACCGTAGGTTATGTGTTAGGGTTAATCTTAATGTTAACCCCAACTGTAACACAACTTCAAGTAAAAGCTGACAACTTCAGGTCAAGGTTGACAGTGTGTAAATCTTGGGCAGTGTCCAAAATCACACACTACTCACTGTATAATGTGTTTGCCGTGTTGTAGTGGTGTCCATATCCTGAGTGTGTGTATCTATATAGCACAATGATGTACATGCCACATAATCTACTTTTTGCCAATATTCCCATAATGTCAGGCAACATTGGTCTCAATCCACCATCTTGTCTGCAGCCAGGTCCCTGCTGTCCCTAAACTTACGGTTTGGTTCACTGTCACCGGCCCTCATAATGACTAGCTAATTGGCAAACAGATCGAGGGTAGAGAAACATTCCCCCCAGGAGCTGGTGGAGATCAAAAACAGAGCTAAAATTGGAGTGAAAATCGGATTTATATGTCAGGTGGTCAGAAACATGACTTCAAATGCTAATGTTGCTCCTTAACTACTACACATAAGTGGGCACCTACATCACATGACGTGATAGTAGTATTCTACTGTATGTCAGTTTTGTGTTTTTCTGCTAAAAAAAAAACTCAATTGCCATACCTGGTGCCGATTGCACGTCTTGCTATCCTTCCATGTTAGACTGCAGGCAGTGTCATGAAATTGAGGATGAAACTCCTTCATAGGGGCCATGGATTGAGCCCAGAACTGAGACATATCATCTCTTGCTCAAAGTAATCACAAAAGTCAATTGCATGCATTCACTACCATTTTAGGAATCGATTGGAAACAATAACGTTAGAAAGGCTGAGAGTCATCTTCCTCCAACATCAGAAACTTTTCTAAGCACATTTTCAGTCCCTGTGGCCACTGTCCATAGCCACCCTGACCTCTCAGTGGAAAACAGACAGAAACCTAAGTGCTTGTACTGATTAGTGTGAATGCAGAGTAAATAAACCCTGTCAGAATCATTGTTGGCAAAGATGAAAAGGGCATAAAGTCAACCCTGTCATTTTCCTTTGAGCACCTCACACTACAATAGATCCTTGTATTCAAACAGCAGGGATTTGGGTGCTAGTTTAATATCTGTCCCTGGTTTTAGTGCTTTAATACTTAATTCATTAGTCAAATTGACAAAAAAAGCTACTTTGATAATCAGCTAATGTTTATGGCTTTTATCAGGCAAAAATATTCACCAGATTCTTAGTAAGGAGTCATGTTTCTTCTCTTTTAAAGCATTTGACATTCCTTTGGATTATAGACTGTCAGATGTCACCTAAGGCTTTGGAAATCTTTGTTTTATATGTATATATAT